TTTTTAAATAACTGTTTCATGTTCGCCACAGCCCTATCTATCTGACACACCACTCTGCCACCCACTCTGCAGTCCATCTCGCCATCGCTCGCTTAGAGAACGTGTTATTAATATTTTCATTTTCATTCTGACGCGTTTTATTTGCGTTTCTCTTGTTTTTCATTTTAGTTATTTTTTATTCTGGTAGTATTTTATTTTCTTTTTCTCAGTTTTATTATCACGCCTTTTGCATTAGTTATGTTCTGTTTATTAATTTTAGCGCCTGGCTCGTGCTTAAGTTTTTATGTATTTATTTCTGCTGTTGGCCTGCTGCTTGACAGTGGGTCAGTAAAGCAATCAACCCTCCTCAACTACATTCCCAAGCAGTTGGAATTAAGCGCGTTTTGTTTATATATATATATATCATATTTGGTTTAGCCCCGTTTTATGGAAAATTGAAAATGTTTTTCCATTTTTGTTTTACTCTTTCGTTTAATTTATGTGCAGCAACCGCCGAGCAATTGAAAAAAGAATTTGTATATGTCTAAAGATGATTTAAGAGCTAAAATTCGGAATTCAAATGCATGCTTCTTCAGCTGCCTTTGCGTCGCTTTTCCAATTTCCGTTTACAATTTCAGTTTTGCTTAATAAGAGATTAAGGCTATTGAATGTTGAAAAATAAAAAAGTAAATAAAAAAATGAAACACCAAATAAAAATATATATAAATAATAAATAATATTATTTAAAACAAAAAACATAAATAAAATATAAATAAAAAAATTATAAAAATTAAAAATAATAAATAAGAATTATAATACAAAACAAATAATATTTATAAATAATAATAATAATAAAAATAAATAAATTTTAATACAAAGTAACTAATATATACAAATAATAATAAATAAAAAAGAATAGAAAATATAACATATAAAACAAAATATAGCCAACTATTTTATAAAATACAACATAATATTTATAATACCTAATAAATAAAATATGTATATGTATAATTAACAGTAATAATAAGAAAACATTTAGTTTGTAGTATCACTACATAACATAATCAACATGATATGAGTATAAATACATAATAAATTACTTTTTTAAATTTCTTTGATCATAACTTCATGGCCCAATCAATTTGGCATATATGTCTAGCACTATTTCCATATAATTATTCCTATGTTGGTTAAATATTCATAGTGAATTCATGCTAAAGCAGCAGGTCCTTGGGTGCTAGTCACTTCCTTCGCTGTTTTATGAGCCCCATTTTCATTTACTCATACTCACACACACGCACACACACACAAGCCATACATACTAAGCAAGCATATTAAAGTGTGTGTTCTATTACTTAATTATTAATAATGCCTGCTCATCGCTTCGCATACAAAGAGAGAGCAGAGACACACACACACACATACACACTCAGCCACCCACAACACTTGCCAGCTGCTGTGATGTCCACAGCTTGTTTCATTGAAAGAAAAACAAGTATTTCCTCTTTCCACTTGGTCCGCCTGCACCACAGAACTTTTCTAATTAGTTTTTGCTGGCAGTGCGCTTTATAGTTATGCATTTCACTTCTTGGCCGAGTTGCCAGCTGCTGGCTGCTGGCTGCTCCCAACTTAGTCTCCACAATTTTCCAGCATTTATTGCAATTTACACCAAGTCTAGACCAGCTAGCTCTATGGCTGGACATGTGGGTGGACGGTCGAAATGTGCGCAATTATTGTAAATGTCGCAATCATTGAGCAGCTGAGAAAAGTGCAAGAGAAGTAAATGAGTCTGGTTAATGAGAGAGACAGCTTATTCAGTGCATGAATGAATGAATGAACGAATAGATGGCGCGTGCTGCTTTCTGATATGCTAAAAGCTGAAAGGCTGACCGTCTCAAGTTGTGTATGTATTGTCCTAGTGGACAAGGGCGTGATTATGTTATCATGGTAGTCAACGTCAGTTTTGTAATTTGAGTGAATGTACCGCACACTCATTGTTCGCTGGTAATTGGATAGGATTAAATATGACCCAAGTGTAGTCACAGCTGCGTGTGTGTGTGTGTGTGTGTGTGCGAGTCTGCCCAGATACGCTAATTAATGCAAAGCAATTTTCCACTGCCATGGCAAATACTTCAAAAGCCAAAGAAGATTTGAAAACCAAGCAATCAAGCATTGCATTAATTTCTAATACATACAAGATAGAGAGAGAGAGAGAGAGAGAGAGAGGGAGGGTATAGAGAGCATAGGCTAAGCATAATAATTGATTTGTCTATTCATAAATTGACTTTAAAATTTTTCTGTTTTCATCAATAACTTGTTTATGCTCTGGGATCTGCTTCTAGCCAACTGGCAGTGCAACAAATTAAAAGTAATCCCTGCTAACGGGCAGAAACCGCCCTAAGGCCTGCCTTTTAATCTTCATTTTGTGCTAAGCCGGCACCATACAAACAAAATAAAAGTGAAGAAAAAACGAAAAGCATAAAGCAAATTCTTTAGGCTGGCTCTTCTTATAAGCCACTTAATCAAGCCTCCATTCGCAACGCCCAGCCATTCTTTGTGCTGTCAATTACTGCCGGCCCCGCCCCAAATCGTCCATTTCGTGCTGTTGATTGGAAAATCTGTGCAAACATTTTCAACAAGAGCGCCAAATTTGTTGTGCCCGACTTATCGATGAATTTCATGAATAACAAAATATATTTAGCCCCAGCGCTCTCGACAAGATTTATGCGCCGCCTGAAAGACAATGAGAGAGCGAATCCACTTCTGGGCCCCATTCCCCAGCGGGAAAACTTCTACAAATTGAACATTTAACCCATTAGGGGGTCGCCTTGTGAATATTTTGTGCTCTTAAATGAATAAATAGGCACGCAACGAAATGAGACGAAGACGAACATTTTGCAGCTTAAATTTAGCATAAATTTCCATGCCAAGAGCAACTCATTATAATTTGCCATCAATTCAGAAATACATACATATATATATATATATAAATTATGATATATATATATATATATATATATACGTAGGCATAAATATATATTTATAGTATTATGTCTTAAGACACGTCGCGCTGCCTGGCGGCTGCTTGGAAAACTCATTAACGTAATTTTCGAAAATTTATAAATGTTAATTGGAAAATGTACTTTCGGCTGTGCTCTGTCTGAAAATTCTTTCGCACTTGGCCCTAGACAATAACTGCTTATTAAATTATGCTAATGAGTTTTACCAGCGCCAACTGTCAGTGAAAATGCCAACAATTTTTCGGGTCTAGGCTGGCGGGTCGACCGAGCCAGGCAAACTGTAAGCCAACCAAACGAAAAATTCCAATTATCGGGCCAAAAAAGAAAAGCACGCAACAAAGCAGTTAACTACAGATGCCAGAGAACTTTAAATGTGCTGCTATTATTATTATTATATTTATCATAAAATGAGAAAAACAAAAGCGGATGAAGATTAAATATTCTTGAAAATTAATTTACCGGGCTTAACAATACGATGAAAAGTTTTCGACAATATTTTCCGCTCAATGCTTTGTTTTTGCATTTATTCTGTGAGGCATTCGTGAAGCTATAAAATGAAAATTTTAGTTGCAGCACAGATTGTTGATAGGGTTTATTTCATTTCAACAGTTTACAAATACAATTAATTATATATGCAATTTTATATGTGAGATATAAAGTAAAATATAATATTTTATAATATTTTTTAGAGTACATAAATATATAGAATATTTTATGCAATTTTACTTGTTTTCTTAGGACTCTGCAAGTGTCTCTCACATTTTTCTTAAAGAGCGGCAATTGATCAAATAGATTTATAAAGAGATTGAGGTCATTCCATCAGTTTTATCTTGATTCCTTATATACATATGCAGTCGACTCGGATCGAATCGTGCTCAGCCAACGCTCGTATGAGTAGAGACCAGCTATTGTTTGATTAGAGCCATGCTCGTGTGCCGATAGCTCTGGAAATTCTTTAAATATGCTCTTCACATACAGTAAAGGACAGTACGAATAGCGCTTGCTCACGATTAGCAGCAACCTAAGATTATAATTAATTCTGGTTTAAATACTGCAGCTCTGGGTGTATCGATAGGTTAAAATATTACCGTTTGATGGGAGCGAACAGCAAGACATAATTGTTGCTTGCTGGTGCTTAAAATAAATTGTGAAAAATAAATATGATAATCTACGTAGCGGAACAATGTTTTTATTTCATGTTTTAGACTATATATATATCTCACAATTTTGTTTTACACTGCAAAAAACTAAGGAACCTTTGTATGGGAATTATTTATGCTAGTGCAGCTGCTTTAACTACTGCTTAATAACGCTTTATATCATAAATCTTTGCTCTTCCAATCCATAACAAAACACTTATATCTCGATTTACCAGCTAATAAAAAATGGTTCAAATGCTTCGTTATAAAAATTCCTTTAGCTCAGAAACAATCAAAAAGAGATTAGCTTATAAAACGCCGCAGACAAAATTCCTTTAAATCTCAAAAGCTGTGTGTTTTCCAGCCTAGCAAATTAGCATTTTTGAACCGTTGCGGAATGCCATGTTATTTGCAGCTCGACTGAGAATTGTTTCTACTGAAATGTCAGTCAGGCCGTATATGTCAATGTGTGTGTGTGTATGTGTGTGTGTGTGGTAGAGACTGCAGCCATTTTTTTTTGCAGTTGTCATTGCTGTGCTGTTGCTGTTGCTGTTGCTTTTGTGTCTGCTGCATGGTGCTCGTTTATTAATTAGTCAGAGGACAGTGCGGGAGGTTGCTGCGGGGGGTTAGGGCAGAAAACTCGTTGGCAGCTTTTTGGCCTGTTTTTGCTTTGTTTGGTTCTCTTTTTTGTGTGTTTTCCATTTTTTTTTTGCGGTCGGGTTGTATGGCCGGCCTGCATATGACAGTTGGGACTGCCAGCGGCAGAGGCTTTCAATTTGATGTTAACTCTCGACTGGCTTCAATCTCAATTTTAATTTCGTTTCGTTTCTCTCTCTCTTTCTCGTTTTGTCTCTTGCAGGATGTCTTGCATAAAATTTGCAATCCACATGGCCAAGTGCTGCGCATTGTCATCTTCAAAAAGAACGGCGTTCAGGCCATGGTTGAATTTGATAGCCTCGATGCGGCTACACGTGCACGCGAGAATCTCAATGGAGCCGACATCTATGCCGGATGCTGCACTCTTAAAATTGATTTTGCCAAGGTGAGTTACCCGAGTGATCCAATCATATTCATATATATAGATATGCCTTATCAAAATGTGTCCACTTTTATAGCCGGAGAAATTGAATGTTTATAAGAATGAGACAGACACCAGCTGGGACTATACCCTGAGCACAGGTGAGATTCAACCAAGTGCGTTCAAATTTTTTACTACTATTTCTTACTAGTCTATAAGCGTACCTATGCACCTCACAGAGAATACTATATATATAAATACATATCAAAATATATATCGATAAGTCATGAGTACACTAAACAACATTTCGCATATTCTCATAATACACACTGATTACACGCACACGCCCACTCTCTCACACACATGAAGAGGAAGACACACACATACACACACTTGCTTTTTATTGCCCACATGTGGAGAGAGTTGCGTAAATATATATATATGTATATACATATACATATATATATATTTATATATATATCATCATATATGTATATATACAAAACTCTGTTTGGCCAATTAGTTGGCCAAGTCTTTATTTTTCTTTTTTTTTTTAATTAACTTTTAGGTGAAATGTTAAACTTTTGTAAACATTTTCAATTGCCAAACACTTTCACAACATTTTTATTTACATTAAAATTTATTTAGAGATTAAACTTTGACACTCGAGTGCTGAAATTTATAAATAATATATCAAAATGTCGAGAGTGACGAGGCGTCTACGTAATTTGATTACGATTTGCACACTGAATTAAATGTATTAATAGATCAGGCTATGCAATTTAATTAAATCTGTTTATTTTTATTTTTTTGTTACATAAATATTTGAATTTAACACGAGCTGTAAAATATGCAACAAACGTTAAAATTAATTCATTGTAATTGATTTATCATATTCTTTTGTTATATATATATATTTTTTTATTTTTATTTTTTCATATTTCTTGTCTATTTATTGCAATTTTAAAATTTTTATTTGTATATTTTTATATATGTTTTGCATAAATATTTAATAATTTGCCGACGTTGCGCATACGTAATATATGTGTACCCGTTCTAAAGCTGTGCCACCTGGCGTATGCTTAATGTTTAGCTGAACATTTTCGCACTTTGCCCCGCGAGCGCCTGGAATGTGAAACCCACACAGCATGCGCTACGTCACGTGTACGTAATATTCATATGAAATTTAATTTGAAAAACTTTGCTCTCTCGAATCTGTTGAACTGATTTTCCACCTTACCTGTCGTATGCTTGATGTATCAAACAATAAACTATCTCACACACAGACACACACACACACACGCACAGAGAATTCTAAGAAACTGCGTACCCTTATCACGGGCGCTCTTGACGTATACGTAATGTGAATAGGAGCATGGTTTACCTGACGTATGCTTGATATGTTAGGATAATATTGCAAAGTTGCTGCAGTCCTTTGTGTCTGCCAGAGAATTTATTTCATGTTTTCTTTTAATAGTCTAGATAGACACATTATTTTCACATGCTCTTGTCTGCCCTTAAAGTTTCGTCTGTAACGGGCTGGCTTTAAAGCCTTTTTGACTGCCTTAGCGCCTGTCACACAGGTCATGCAAAAGGCGCCGTGTCGCAGCTCTAATTGCCACAGCCGAGAGCTTCTAGCGCACAACAACATCAAACATTAATGCTACTCAAGAGCGCACGAGCATCGTCAAAGTTAGCAAAGCAACGGGAACAGCAACAGCCGACGCCCAACGTCCCAGTCATAATATTGGCCACATCAAATGTAAGCTACAGCAGCAGCAGCAGCAGCAGCAGCACCTGGCACCGGCATCAGCACCTCTTGGCACCTCCGTCCTGCCCACCTTTTCCGTTCGCGTTGCCCACATTCAACACGCTGCGGCACATGTCTCGCTTTATGACAGTCGACAAAGTTGCGCGCGTTAAATGCCATTTTTAATTTTTATATTTCACTTTGAATAAAAATGAAATTAAACGTTCGTTGTTGTTGTTGCTGTTGCTTGCCTGCACCGGCCTGTTGTCTGTTGTCTGTTGTCTGTTGTCTGTGTGTTGTCGCAGACAGCGAGGCGGCAACGTTGTCGTGCAATTTGCCCGAACTTCAAAAGGCCGACAAACTGCAGAAAATCTGCCATTCGCGCGACATACAGCACTTCCCAGCCATGCTGCTCCCCGCTTCCTGCTGCTGCTGCTGCTGCAACATTGCAAATGTCAACAGCAACAACAACATCAACATCCACTGGCTGGAATGGTCAAAGCCACAATAACTCAGACGATGCAGCCACACTGAGTGTGCCCACTGTCATATTTTGCTACTTTTTGTTGCTGGACAAACTTTTTTTGTGTTTGCTGGTTTTTTGTTTTTGTTTTTTGGTTGTGGCATGTGCCTTGCATTCAGCTATTTGTTGCTGTCTGTCGATGCTCTTCCTCTTCTGGTTGTTTGCACTGCATTTGCATGCCGCGTCAGCAGCAGGTGGAGGTGTGCGTGCCTCTGGTGTCTGTCTGTTGCATTGCATTGCATTAGGCCTGCCCAGTCCAGCGTCGCCCATATCGCTCGCTCAGTTTGCTTTTGCCAAGTCCAGTTGCCATCAATGAATGCCAAAATGAATGAACTTGGCGGCAGCCGAGACGGCAGTCGGACGACCAGCCAGCAGCATCTGGTACCACATTATGTGGGCGTGTAAATTAGAACCGGACACAGGCACAGAGATAGACAGTCAGAGATAGAGTGAGAGAGAGTGGGCATCTCACATAATGAACATGCCACAATGATATGTGGCCAGAGGCGCATGGCGCCACATCTCTGTTTAACTTCTCTCCTCCTGCTCATTGTCCGTGTGTGTGGCTGTAAATGTTGTTTGCTGCTGCTGCGCTCCTCTTCATTGCCAATTTGTAATGGATAGTTTCATTGCATAACACTGTTTGCTTATCTTTGTGATTTATTCGATATTTATTGGATTTATAATACGAAAAGGTTTTAATTATTAGTTGAGTTATTTGAAGTACTTGAGCAAATTTATATTTCACTCAAATTAGCATTGCAGTTTGTGAGAGTTTTCCAAGTGGGAATATTTCAAGAAAATATTTCAAAATATGCTATAGTTGAAATGGTAACAGAGATAAAAACAAATACTTTAAAATAAAAAACAACTCCTAAAATATATTAAAATTTATAAAATAATTAAAATTATTAAATATTAAATTGGGCAAGATTTTATTTATTATCTACGAATTGCTAATTTGAAACAACTTCAAGGTCTAAACATTTCCTTTCTTTACTCTATTAAATATTTAGAGACAAAACAACTGTCATGTTCAACCATAACTATTTGTTTTAAATTTGTAATTAGTTTCAAGCAGTTTCTTTATGTGGTAAAACCTTTGTTTTAATTTTCGTATCAATCTGAAACATAAAAATATTTTTTTTTTTTTTTTTTGAGGCTTTTCCGTAACAAGACTTATGGGTGGGCAAAATATATACCTTTTTAAATATTTATAACCTTAACTCAGAACCAGATTTTTAAGTTTACTAACATTTTAATATTTAAATCTGCAACGATTGGATACGACAGCCAAGAACTTGATTTATTACGACAAATTAAATATTCATAAAAAAGAAATAGCTTCGGCTGTCGTGTTGAACAATTATTCGTTATGCATTTGCAATTAGCTGCAACTAATCTATATTTATATAGTGAAAAATTTGCTTTCAGTTGCTTGAATTATGCAGGAGACTTAAGAGAGACCGCCGACTCCGGAGGCGGCTGTTGTCCATTCATTTGCTAATAGAATGCAAATCAATAGCAATTTCTGCTCCAAGTGAGCTTTTGCTTGCAGTTTGACGTTTAATGTAAAGCAGCAGCAGCAGCAGCAGTAGCAGCAGCAGCGCCCCCCACTGACCTTCGACCTTATATGACAGGCATTTTAAACTGGTCTGCGCTGGGTCTGGCCAATCAATAGAATTCATTAAAAATGCTGCTGCTGCTGGTGACAGGGGGCACGCCCACAGCTGACGCACAGCCATAAATTGTGCATGACTGGCAACAATAATAGAAAGAAAGAAGGTAAATGGACGAGACAAAACAAAGGCGATAACAAGTTAAATATCAAGTGAAAACTGCCAACAAGAACATTTGCATCGGGCCCAGGGCCCAGGGCCTAAGCGCAGATGGAGCAGAGAGTGCCTTCAGCAATCGATTTAGAAGACGTACTGAAGTTGTTTTTAAACACCGTTTACTGTAGTTAACCCAAAAAACCTAACCTCAAAAGCAAATAGCCCCAGAAACTAACCTCAACTAAAAATATATATATATATGCTAACTTTATAAACTCTAGTGTTAAAAAATAAAGGCAAAAGAAATACAAAACAAATAGAATTTGTGTAGTATTTGCATTTGGCAAGCGTCAGAGTCGCCTCTGGCTAACCAAGCTGACAGACAGACAGACATAGATATATATATATGTATATACTGAGGGTTGACTTTCGCGAGGGAGCTTTTTCGCCTGCATATTTACGAGTGGCTTGTGTCTGCACAGCGAGTCACTTCACGTGCAATTTTATCTATGCGCGCGGTTGGCGTTTTGTTAATTTTCCACTCATTTTCCATGGCATCCTAGCTGCGGTTTTCAACCCGCCCGCCCTTTGGCTGCTTCCGCTTCCGTTCTGCAGTCAGACTTATTCTTGTGTTTTCTTTCTCTTTTTTTTTTTTTTTTCTTGAATTTCTTTTTATTTAGATAGATTCTTATGCTCATCGCATTTGGGGCATGCTTCGTGCTGTCACGCGATGTGTTTTTACGTTTTGCTTCTTTGTGGGCGAACAGTTCGCTCTTTATTTGACAGCAAATTGTTTTTGTGTGTGTGTGTTTTTTTTTTTTTTTAAGTCGATGAGTTGCTTGAGTTCCGTTTTATTTTTCCTCTTACTACCGTTGTTAGCCAAGGACGTTCGATTTTTAGTGGCGCTTGACAAACCGACGAATACGTGCAGCTAGTTCACGTATACGTAATGTCTAGCTACGTATACGTAATGCAGTTTTGCACTCGGCTCTTTAAGTAACAGTTGGCCTATTATAGAGACTTGGCTTATTATAGAGACACGATTAGTGCGAGGCGAACAAGACTTCAAATTGGACTTTCTTTAGCTGGAATTGCTATATATATATAGTTGCTAGGAATTGTTTTTAG